CCCTACGGCCCTGGCCTCCAGGTTGCTTTCCTGTGGCTTCCAGAGCTCGGGCGGGCACCTGCTGTGGGGTGCACGCCCCACGCAGACCGGCTGAGCCTCCGCCGGGGCATGTCCCTTCATTCTGCCGGGCCCTCTGGAGAGCAGTGGGAGTCTGTGGGAGAAGAGCGGACCTTTGCCACAAGCCCAGGCTGGCTGCACTCACGGCTTTGGGAGAGTCTTTCCCCACGGAGCGTGGAGCCCAGAGGCCTGGGGAGGCCGGGATCCCCACTGCATCCTGGACACCGGGCGCCTCTGAGTCAGGCTAGGATCAGTGTGGGCCTTTTCACCTGGCCTGTGGTGGGGTCCGTGTGACCTTGGGAGGCGACTCCAGCTATTTAGGCTCCATATGTTCCTTCTGTAGATTGGGGTGGGGGACCTGCCTCCTGGGTTATGAATAATAAGTCAAGCAAATTGTGTCACTTCTCCGGCAGAGCGCAGGACAGGACTGTGAGTTGGTAGGTGGCATTCCACTGGATCCTGGCATCATGACGTCTTGGGGAGGTTTGGGGAAGGTTCTAGGCAGTATGTGCAGGGAGGTGGCATGGAGTGGTCAGGCTCTGGGTCCCTTTAGCCTGTCACCAGAGCAGAGGCACCTCTGCCTGTTTTGTCCTAAGATTCCAGCTGAAAGACAGGGGTTCCTTTGTCTCTTTAAAAGAAAGACTAGAAGGTGCTGAGAGACTGACTTCCTTCAGGACATAGCTCATTGGTCTTTGATGTTCCTCTTTGACCTTTATACTTTATCACTTCCTTCTAGAAAGGGTTTGATGATATACATAACAAAAAATGTATGAGCAGAAATATAAAGCTGGGCCCTTGGAGGCGGGGAGGCGGCCATGCTGGCCAGCAGAGGTAGCACAGCCGTGACAGGCCTCCCCGCTGGGTCTGAGGCCTGCCCTGCCTCCTTCACCCTCACAGATGTTCAACTGCATCACAGAGCTGGTCCTCCGAGCAAAGAAAGACAACTTAGCAAAACAGCAGCAGCAGCAACAGAACGATGTGGTGAAGCTCACGAGGAACAGTAAAAGAAAGAAACGCTGCTGCTAATGCCTCGCTCAGCCCCCTGCAGAGACTGCACTGCGGCCACTCCCCCAGCCCGAGGCCCGCGGGGCTCCTCGGGGGACAGTCTCAGTTTTGTGCCGTTATTTAAAGAATTCTCTCCACGTTTTTGTATCTGGAGGCGCCATCGGCACTTCCTTCCCTCCCCCTCGAGTACTAAGAAGGTGTTGGACAACTTGCCCTTCCCTTCTGGTGCCCCTGCCCCTTGGCCAAGGCGCCTGGGCCCAGCAAGGACGCTGCCAGCCGAGCGGACTGATTAACCAAGAGTTTGTACATAATGTATATTGCTTTAACCAACATGTCACCCTTGACCTGCTCTGGCTTTGCCTCCCTAATGCCAGCCTGCTGCAACAGACCCTCCCGCCCCATCCCATCTTACCGCCAGCAGCTTCCTGAGGAGACGAGATCACGTTCTAGCCACGTCTTTTGCCAACCTGGGCTGGTGGAGTGGGCTCCATGTTACCTGTTGTCTGCTGCAAGCCGTCGTCGACTTGTCTTTGGGTCTCACCCATCTCTAGGGCCTGTGCCACCTCCGTTCCCAGCCCAGCTCTCTTCCTTCCCCATCCCCTGCCTCTAACCGTTCTGGCAGCTGGGGAAGCCTGGCCTTGAGGTAGGCCTGGGGTTCCCATTAGAGGCCTGGCCTCGGCTGGCCCAGCCCTTTGGTTCTGCAGGAGCCACTCCTGCCCTTTGGCCAACAGATTCTTGTCCTGCCTTCTAGATGCCTCTGAGCTACAAACCTAGAGGGCTGTAGCTTCTATTTATACCAACCTGTTTCAGTTCCAACAGTAAGGCAGGGTGTGTTCATGCAGGGATGGGGCTTAGGAGCATTATTTTAACAGATAAAATGAAGCCAAATCAAATGAATTAAGTTCCTCACACATTTTTCTCTTCCTGAGGTTTGGTTGGCACAGCAGCAAAAGCTGTGGCCTCCGCACTTTGGGGCCAGTGTTTTTAGAAAAAGTGAATGGCTTCCTGTCATTGTGGGGCTGGGCTCTTGGCAAATCAGCTCTGTCTTCCTGGACGTTTCTTGGGAAAGGAGAGGGGGCCTCCCAACCTTATCTGTGTTGGCCGAGGCCTCCCACTGAGTTCCTGGGTCTTTGATGCAGCACCGGGCGCCTTCGACTGTGGGGAGTGGGTGCCAGGGGCTGCTGGACTATGGCGACAGTGCCTCTGAGCTGGAAGGCAGGCAGCCTGGGATCACTGACAACTGTTTTAGTACAGAGATAGCACGAGGATTTCTTAGGTGGGAAGGAATGGCAGCTGGGGCTGGGAGCCAGCCAGCTTTGACCCACCCTGGTCCCTTGGAGGAAAAACCAGGGTTATCTGCACTTGATTACTGTCCCCTTCCCTCCCCCTTAGGACACTTCATTCACCTTTCCCCTAAAAGGATCACGTAACCTGGGAATAATTTATTTCAACACCATGATGCGTTTTATTAGATTTCCTTTCCTAGGCGATTACCAGGCGAAGCCCTGATTGGACAATCACATCACAGATCACACTGCAGATTTTCCACATTAACACTGTTGATGGGTTTTTAATCAATCAAAACGGGGGGTTTCTTCTGACCTGTTTCTCCACTTCCCCAAACTGCCAAAACACCGTGGTTCCATGTGACAGGCCTTCACGTTGGAACGTGGGATGAGGCGGGGGAGTTCTGTGGGCCTGAGAAGGCGGTGCTGTGGAGGGTGGCTGCAGGGCCGACCAGCAGGCAGCCTTGTCTGGTTGCGGGGCCAGGAGCAAAAGCAGGGTCTCTGTCCTTAGACTGTCCTGGCTGACCATGGATCCTGTGCAGACGCACAGAGCTCTGGGCTCCTGGAGTGGGCAGCACACTCCACTTTAAGCATTAAGGTGACACCAGTGTGGCAGTGCTTGCAAATTCAAGCAATAAGAGGAGGGGGTCCTGGAAACTTCTAGCCCGGGCTAGAAACCATCATGGTTCTGGCACCTGGATGTCCAGACCCAGGTGGTGGGGTAATTTTGGTGATGACAGTGTGCCTGTCCCGCTGAGTGTTAAGTATGCATGAATGGGGGGGTGGGGGCAGGGGTGTCATAGGGCTGGACCGATGTGTCCTGGTGGACCTGATGTGAAATTTCTGTCAAACAACAAAACATTTAAATGGTTTGCTAGGATTATTTCTGTATTGAAAGTTTCTAATTATGCTTTTTAAAAAAAGTACTAAAAATAAAGGTTCAAGCTGCCAAATTTTCTTCCAGGGTCTGTTTCCTCTCTTCCAGCTGTGCTCTGGGTGAGCCTGCCTTCTTCCACCCATTGTGTCCAGCTCGTTTGTTCTGGTGTGAGTCCCGCACAGGTGCCTTTCAAGGCTCAGGGACACTTTCAGGAGCCAAGTTCATGTTCACCAAGGGTTGGTCCAGGTTGAGCTTCTCTGGTCTGATGCATCGGCTGGGAGCTCACGTGTTAAGATGCCAGGGGAAGCGCCGTGTTTATTCTCTGCATGCCCGGAAGGATGCAGCGGAAGCTTTGCTTGCAGTGATTTCTTCCTGGCTTGAAGTTTCTGCCCAGCCGTAGGGCCGGCTTGGGGCTTGGGACACAGTGCCAGCAGGGCCTGCCTGTAGCTGCAGCACTGGCAGGGAGCCCAGGCTGTGATGGGCACGGAGGTGGCGCCTTTGGTCACTGCTCCCCAAACACCTGTCAGTGACAGGATGCCTTCACCCGCTAGTGGGGGTGCCCCTTCCTGGCTGAATCCTCTGGCTAGGTCCTAGTATACGAGGTGTCCTCCCAAGTGTGCGGGGGACTCACTAGTGATGCCTCTTCATGCCAGCCAGTGGCGGTTTCTGAAAGATAAGCTGTGTTCTGACCAAACCACCCCTCCAGTACCCAATGACTGAGGCGGGAAACTCTGTAGAAATTCATTTATTCTTAGACTATTTTCAAAAGAAGCGGTGGTGCGCTGTGTTTCTAAAAATATGCCTTTATAGATTTATATATAATATGTATATTATAAAATCCATACATGTATTTACACGATTGCTACATACAAAATTACAGCACTGTGGTATGTACATATCTACAGGTACATTCTTTCTGCTCATCCCTGCTGTGCTTTTCCCAGGTGTGGGAGGAAGGTTATCCTTTGTGAAGCAGCCTGCGGGCTGGCTCAGCCCATGGCGCCTGTTAGGGCCTCAGCAGAGAAGGTGGAGTGGCTGCTGAGGAAGGAGCAGAAGCAGCAGGTTGCAGGATTCATTCTTCTGCAGGCCTCATGGGCAGTATCTGCAGGCATCCACCCCGTGGTGACAGTGCTGCCCTTTACGTGGAGGTGGCTGACCACAGACCTCTCTGGGGCCATTCTGTGGCCTAGACTTGCTTGGCTGAACCAAGAACTTGTATATGTGAAGGGAGCGGGGGGCCGTGGGAGGAGGACAAGACCCCTCGCAGCCCTGGCCCCATGAAGGGGAAAAGGCTGGCTGACTAAAGCCTGCAGACAGGCAAGGCCTGCACTGGTGGAGGCCGGGGAAGAGCAGTGGCAGCCAGGGGGCAGGCCCTTCTTTCTTCTGGGCTTGAGGTGGCCTTGGCCAAGCTGTGGTAGAGCCCACTGTGGCTGAGCACAAGAGAACAGCCCCAGCCATCAGGCCCCGCAGGCTGGGACTCCTGCCCACAGAGGTGCTCTTGGCAGAGGTGCGTACACGTGGTGAGGGGCCGCCTTCCCTTACTCCCGGGCCAGGGGCTGGGGGAGAGATGGAGACTCAGGCCTGGGCTTGATGCCCTGCAAGACTAGGCCTCAAGGCTCAGGCCAGCTGGGGCAGCAACAGCCCCCTGAGGCATGCAGAAAGGGCTTCCGTTTCCCGCTCCCCATCTTCCATAACAGGAGGGCAGCAGCGCCTGGGGTTGGCGTGGAGCCTCCGAGGCATGGGCCCCTGGCTGCTGGAGGCAGCATGAGCTCTGCTCAGCAACAGCGGATCCTGGGGAAGCCCAGGTTGGGCTTGGCTGGGCAGTGCGGACAGGGCTCCTGCCTGCCCCTCTGTCTAGGACAGCCTTCAGAGGACAAGCAGGCCCTTCAGGACGACTTGGCCCCAGTGCAGGCAGGCAGTGTAGCCATTGAGCCTGGCCCAGGGCGGGGGCCCTTGCATGCAAACACAGTACCCTGGGCCCTCGCCTGCACCCCCTTTCAGTCGCCTCCAGTCCACCCATCCTCGCTGGCCTGACTGTTCCCAGCTTAAATTTTCCTGAAGAATGAGAAGAGCCGTTTGCCTTCAGCGGTGCCGGGCTCGTCCCTGTGCCCTGCGCCGTGGGCCCTGGAGAGGGCAGCAGCAGGCCGGCTCTGTTCCTTCAGGTGTGTGTCCATCAGCTGCCGGTCAATGACCCTGTGCATGTCATCCTGCAGAGGGCAGAAAGGAGGGGGCTGAGCAGGGCAGTGACCTGGCACTGGGGGTGGGTGGGAGGTAACAAGTGTCAGGAAGGATGGGAGATGAGGATGAGAAATGAGATGAGTGAGCAGTTGCAGCCGGGGCTGCCCCGACCAAGAAAGCAGCGAGTATAAATGCGATGCCGGGAAACACAGGAGCCACGTGACACCTCCAGTCTCCTCAGGGCTTGGGCTGGCCTCTCCTCGCTAGTGTTATCCCTCGCCCGACCCCCTAGACTGTCAGTTCCTATAGGGCCAGAGAACGGCTGCAGCTAGCTGATGCCTCCCTGTCTCTCCACCCAGGCCACCGGCCCCACACAGCGCTCAGCCTCACCTGCCTCTCTGCCCTGCCTCCTGTGTCCCTTAAGGCTGAGTGGGTGCCTCTAGTTTGGTCCAGCCCCCAACCCCACCAGTGACCTGTTTGCCAGCTTTCTAGCCCAAGGGCCTGGCCTCAGGGGGGCTTCTGTCCTTTCTTCCTTTCAAAGTATTACCAGCCTGAGCTGCCAATGCCCACGCATCACTGGCAGCCATACGTGGCAAGGACAGACTCCCTGGGTACTGGCCCTGCCCACCCCAACCACCCATCAGCCCCCTACTGGCGAGGCTCCCCTCTGTGGCAAAGGCCTGGGCATCACTATCTTTGCGCTTGTCCTTGGCTTTCTCACTGAGGCAGCACCTTTCCCCTTCCACTTTGTTAAAGTTGCCTAGAAAATGCCCCCCTCACCCCAAGTCTACCTTGCAGGACATTAGCTTTTACTCCATAGAGGGGCTCTGGATAGAGCGGCTCCACTCTATTCTAGCTGCTAGATTCCAATTCTGTGCAAGACTCCATTCGACAAAGGTGTTCTGCCACTGACAAGGTATGAAAGCTACTGGTTTGGACATAAGCAGTCCTGTCTAGTTTACACCAGCGGGAAACAACAAGCAGCTGCTTGATTCCTTCCCCTTTGAACCCCATGGGCTCATGAATGTCCTGGTGAAAAGACCCCAAGCCTTGGGCTAAACCCTGGAGTGAGTTAGCTGCTTGAGTCTGAGCACAGGATGGGGAGGCCTGATGTCAGGGCAGATGGCCTCTGCCCTCTGAGCGGCCCCTCACTTGGCAAGGGCAGGAAGTGGGGCTGGCCAGGCCTCCCTCTCTGAACAGCTTGTCCATCACCTCCTACACTCTCACCCAAGCTCTCACCAGTGGGTGTCACTCAAATGTAAAGACCTTTGCAGGTTTCAGGAAATGAAGGGACTTTCTTGGCCATGTCACTAGATGGCATTGGCTGTGGACCTCTTGCTCCTCCCTTGCTCATGTCTTGCTTTCCTGCCTTCCTTTCCTCCCCACAACCCTCTTCACACTCGACTTCCTTCCTGTACCCCTCCCCCTCCTTACAGAAATAAGAGACACGGTCCCTACTTTGAGCATTCCAGTGTCGAATCCTCGGCACAGTGTCCTGAACTTAAGCACGTGCTCAATAAAATCTACGCCGTTAAACACAACATCAGGACTGCTAACGCGTCCTTCAGAAAGAAACCCTTTCCAAGTGCCAGTGTTTGTTCTGGCACATTGCGAACTGCATTTTTGATACTTGAAAATCTGTCAAGGCAATCCCATGGAATACATCACTTTAGAACATCACACACACACACACACACACGAGCTGCTCGTAATTCCAAGCCTGCCGTTACTTCTGTGGGTGAGACAACCCCTTCATGAGGAGGGGGTACACCAAGAAACCAGGGGTCAGCTGGCCGTAAGTGGGCCAGCCTGTTAATACTGGGTCACGTGCTGCTGTGTTCACTGGATGTGATGGTGGTGGGAGGAGGGAGGCAGGGGCTCGATGGCATGGCACGCTGCACAGAGATGGCACCGGACTCCGACACAGAACACGGTGGGCCATGAGGGAGACGGCAGGGGCAGGACTTCGATGGCATTGGGGAGGGTGAGTGGGATGAAGGGTCGGTCTCACCTCAAAGGCAGGAGGGCTGTACAACTAAAGCTGTTGATACGGGAACTGAGAAAGGCCACTAGATCAGAAACCAAAGGAGCCAGATAGTAAAAAGCCCTGAGGAAGCAAACTGTAACCAGGAGAGAAGAGAGAAGAACAGGAGCAGTAAGCCAGGGAGCGGCCAGCTGGCTGAGGAGCCCGTGACCAGCTTGGGGTGCGGGTGGGGGTGAGGGTAGGAGGAGGGTCAATGTTCATGCGGCCAGCCCAACAGGGCCCCTGGAGGACTGGTCAGCACCAACCTGCCCTCCGCGGCGGGGCTTGCCTGGCAAAGCCAAAAGTGGCTTTTCATCTGTCCGGTTAAGACTTCTTGGGGAGCAACATGAATGGTTACATCCATATCCAGAAACTGTACGGCCCCAACCTCAAAAAGCACGCACAGCCCTGGCCCAGTGGGGAGTCACGTTGGGCCTGGGATGGGGCAGGCTGCCTGGACTCTGAAAGCAGTGCTCCTGGAAATGGACACAATGACTCATTTTCTCCAGGCTTGCACCAGGCCAGTACTCTTTGGAAAAAGGAAGCTGGCCCTTGAGAAAGGGAAGGGCAGCAGCTGCCAGCAACCTGCGGGCTGCTGAACTATGTCCGCCTGTGAGTTTTCTGTCGGTCATATAGGGCTTCCTGGGCCCTCCACGTTAACAGCTGTTTTCTTTCTAGCTAATTTAAACAAAGCCATGACGACTGGCTGAAGGAGGCTCCTGTTCCAAGCCTGGAGGTCACCATACCCCCAAACAGCACAACCTGGGGCTCACAGCTCTAGTGAGCACCCTCAGGCATTCTTCCCCAGGGTCTGGGGGTGCATGAGCTCTGAATTTCACCTGGTGAAGACAGGGGTTACAGCTCACCCACGCGCATCGGACCCTCTCTTAACAAACTCTCCTTACACTCTGCCTGCGTTCAGATAACTCCTGGAGCCTCGTCTTCCCTTCCCTCACCTGCCAGGCCTCAAGCTGCTGCGAGAGGTTCAGTTTCTGCTGAATGGCATCCAGCAACTGGCTGTTCAGAGACATCATGTCCATCTTGCACTTGGCGAGTTCCAGCTCCACGGCGTTCTTCCTGAAAACAGACAAGTCAGGGAGAGCATGGATATCTTGGGTCAGAAGTATGTGGTTGTTTACCTAGGGCACCTGGAGTCCACAGGATGAGGAAACGGGCTCTGAGCCCAAACTCACAACAAATAGTAACTACGATGTTCGTTGTAGAGGGCTGGGACGCTTGCAACATGCTTTCGCAGACGTTTTCTCAATTTTCCTAACCAACTTGTAGGTGAAGGGATTATCTGTCATCCCCATCTCACAGAAGTGGGTAAGAGGGTAACACTTACATCAGGACTGGAACCCAGAGGAAATCAAAGATCTCACAGAACACTAAGGAGCTACTAAGCCTTTCCCAAAAAGGCCAGTCCTCGGGTAAGGTGGGGACCTTGCTCTCCTGGCCCCGCCCCCCCACCAGCAATATCCCCCTTAAGGGATCTATTTTAGAGACACACATGTGCAAAGGTGGTGAGGAGGCCACACAGTGGTGACCATCATCACAGCTTAGCTAATCATAGTAGCCAACAACTAGAAAACTGGTGGTAAATTATATGATGGAACAGTCACATGTAACAACCATGATGTTGAGTATTCACTGACAGTAGGGAAATACTCACGATGTATCTAGGCCTAGGGTAGGAAAGAACCAAAAAACAAGGTCTGATATGATACTTTCTTTGTAAAAGGAAAAATGCCTGTGTGTGTCTGAAGGTCACAGACAAAAGTGTCTACTTGGTTATCCCTGGGTGATGATTCCTGGTGGGTAACCCCTCACACGCTTTTGCATTTTGTATTTTCACATTTTGACAATTTCACATATTGACAATTTTTCACATTTTGACAATTTCAACATTGCTAAATCATAGTTCAATACAAAAGAAAGTTGTTATTATTATTATTATTATTATTATTATATGCCACCTCCTCGAGGAGGCCTGCCCTGAGCACCCGAGCTAAAATAACACCCTTATTATTATTATTATTATTATTATTATTATTATGGTAACAGGGGGATGGTATTAAGTGTGAGACTAACTAGGCAGCCTCTGCAGAGGAGGCACCGGTTGCCCAGCTGCCAAAACGTCTTCATCAACTGTTACCTTTTGCATTCGAAACGCCAAAAACTAGCAAAAAAGTGTCCTCGTTGCACAGGGCCAGCGACCAGTGGGTACAGCCCAAGGACTGCTAAAGGACCAGCCTGCAGAGGCCGCTCGGCTCAGGCCTCAGGAACGCCACCTGCACCAAGCTAATGGCCGGAAGGCGAGGCAGTTGGGGTAAAGCGTTCAGGCCATCACCTTGACCAGCATTTCCTCTCCGGCCTCCACTCTACGGAGCAATTAAGTCACCTCCCCTGACACTCCACTCACCACCCCAGAACGGCGCCCCGCCCACCGTCCTACAGAAGCTTGTCCGGGGAGGCCGCATCACTCAGGGGAGGCCGCATCACTCAGGCCCGCCCGCACTGCGGCTGCAGAGACAGCAGACGAGCCTGTCCAATGAGCGCCGGCGTCTCAGGTGCCGCAGGCTGCCCTATCACGCCCGCTGCCATTGGCCAGCAGCAAACAGCGGAAACGCTCCCGTGGAACCGGTTGCCATGGACGCCCAGCCGGCCACACCCTCGGCACTGGAACGTCAGAGCGAACCCCTGGCGCCCCGCCCCGCTGCAGCCTCCTGAGCTCCAGGGTGTCTCCCGACAGATGGCGCCACGAGCAACCGGGAGACCCCAGAATACGCTAATACCGCCGGACGGAGGGGCGGAGGGGCCGAGGTCCAGCGGCAGCCGTTTGGGAAGGGGGTTCTCCTTCCAGGGAGCCTCTGAAGAAGGGCCTGCCTTGCCCACCTCTGGATCCCGGCATCGGGCTGCATCCACGGCAACGTTTGCTCACTAGAGAATCTTGGTGCTTGTCATTCATGAGAAACACCAGACCAGGAAAGCCAAGCTGCAGTAACCACGGATCAATATATTAATCAATTTTGAAAAAGGGTATTTCAAAGGGCTAGAAGAATTCCTTCTTTAAGTGAAACCACTAGTAACTGACTCCTTCTTGTTTGTACAAGGCAGATAGCTAGCCCCAGAATTTTTTTAGTGAGGGCCTTTTACCTGCAAGGAGATAAAATTGTTACTAACTTTTCTGAAACTCTTCTATTGTATATAAGGAATGCCTTAAGATTTCTTGCAGCCCAGTGAAGAAAGTTATTTTTCTCGGGGGTTTTCACCCATAACTACCCATTAGAATCATAGGGTGGATCAGGGAGACTCTTTTAAGATGTAGCCCCAAACCTAGAGATTCAGACTGAATTATTCTGGAGAGGGCCTTGCCATCCTCAAAGTTGCCTGGAATGGAGAATCAGAGGTGATGTATATAAAAGCATCTTGTAAAACAAATAAGGTCCTATTCAAATGTGGTGTGGCTCCCCGACACATTTAAATGATTACTTAGGCCTGTCATCTCAATTCTTGTATACCAAGAATTTCATTTCTAAGGGATAGAAAAAACTATCCTCCTGGAGTGATCTAACACCCTCCCAAAGGTCAGCCCTGTTCAAAAGGGTCCAGGAAGGGCAGGGCCCTCATTACAGAGTCTCACTACTCAGGGAGGAGAATTTGTAAATCTGCTCAGACTTCAGGCTAACTGGGCTTCCTTTGACAGCAGGCAAGGAAGGACACGTATTTAAGGTTTCATGGATATTTGGTGGCCTCCTCTGTCACTCAGGTGCCAGGGCTAAGTTCCACCTATTTTAAGAGAGGGGACCTGGACAACTTCTTTCTTCTCTCCTGCACCCTGGCACTTTCTCGTGCCAGGAGGTGCTTGTATCTCCCACCTCCCATCTGATGACAGAAAAATGGTCAGAGCTTGATGTTCAGCTCTATTCTACTTGTCTAGCTGGGAAAAGGTGACCAACCAGTCTCTATTTCTAACTTCGTTCTGCTTTTTATTCCCGATGGGCTTCCATAATTAGCACCTCAATTTTATCATTTTATTCCCTGATTGCATGACACAGTTTCAACCTTTGTTATTCATAAAAGTATACTCCCACTCCAAAATCACACTCTATTTAAGTATTCACTAATTAAATTTACCAGGAATCCAGTGGCAAAGATTCCGAGGAAAGAGTAAAGATAGGGTACATAATAAAACGGAGTCACTTTAATCAAGCTGCTAAAATTATTCACATTATGAAGGTTGAGGCATGAGAAAAGACTCTATTCTTCCTTTACTAGCCTGGAAACGTAAAACTTTTCAACCTTCCAGTCCTGTGTCAATGCCTGGATATACATTTGGACATACACCAGACCTCCAGATAACCCTCCGATTATCCCCCAGACTACCCGACACCCAGTATCCAAGCCACCGGATGTGACCAGATCTACTGGCACCCATCCTCTAGACAGCGGCCCCCAACCTTTTTGATACCAGGGACCGGTGCTCCTATGAGAATCTAATGCCTGATGACCTGAGGTGGAGCTGAGGTGGTGATGGGGAGCAGCTGCAAATACAGAGGAAGCTTTGCTCACTCGCCCACTGCTCACCTCTTGCTGTGTGGCCTGGTTCCTAACAGGCCGCGGACTGGTACCAGTCAGCAGCCTGGGTGCTGGGGACCCCTGCTCTAGACAACCTGGCATTCATCACCTAGACCTGACATCTGACTGATAACTGTCCTGGATCAATCCTAGGGCTAAGTACGCAGGACTCTGAGAACTCTTAATTTTCCTTTCTTCTTTGGAACACCTCTAGGTTTTTGCCTAGCTATGTTCACAGTTTGCAAACTTTAAGGGCCTCGAAAAAATCTTTATCATTTATTTCTAGCCAAAGCCTCCAGTCTTTTTGAGTTCATTCAATAACATATAGGTTTATGAGCCTGACTGAGTGAACCTGATATAAGGTTCTGACCAGATAGAAAAGGGGACCCAAAGGTAAGACTAAGAAATGGAGATGATGAAAATGATTAAAGAGAAAAGAAGGGTGGGGACAAGTGTGTATGCAAATGAGAAGGGAGAAAGTACGGGGAATTTTAAAGTCAGAAATTAAAATGTCATTTTTTAAAAAAGGCATACAGTATCAAATTACAAATTGTTTCAAATGGGTTCCTTTCAGCTTCCTGACAAACAGCCACAGTGTAAGGGGAAAGAATATGGGGACAGGAGTCAGAGACCGAGGTGGCGGCCAGTGATCACTGGCTGTGATCTGGGGAAAATATCTGTTTCCTCATCCGTAAAACTGGTATTAAAAATTTCTGCTTCTTGCTGTGGCTGGGAGGATTAAAGGATGAAAGTGTTTTGGAAACAATGAAGTGATACACAAATGTTATTAATGTGTTGCAAAGTGCCCCAAAAGCGGATACATTTTTAGTACTTTTTATCTCCTTAACACTCAGGGAACAGGGTAGACTGAATGCATGATTAAGAAACAATTTACAGAGATATGGGGAATACATAAATATGTTTTGTTTATGTATTTCCAAATTTTTTGAATGTGAGAAAATGCATTTCTGCATTTCTTCTCTGTTAGAGAAAAACCCAAAACACTAAAAAATTACCCAGTTTGCTGGAAATACAGGGGACAGAGAAAAATGTTAAATGACACTTTGGAGATGCAATCACACTCAGAATGTAGAAAAACTATGAGACGGATGATTCGGTTTCTTCAAAAAATAAATGCGATGAGAAGAAAAGATGGAGGGGGAAGTGTCATGGACTTTGAGACATATCAACTAAATGGAATATGTGGACTTTGAAGCCTGATTCTAATCAATTATAAAAAGACATTTATAGGACGACTGGTGGGGGGACTCAAACTCTGGTTACTAGATGACATTAAGAAATTACTTTAAGTTTTTTCAAGTATGGTAACTGTATTGTGGTTGTGTGTTTTGCAAAATCTTTTTCTGGTAGCGATCTCTACTGAAGTGTTTAGAGAAGAGCTGCTAGGACGTCCTTGTGATTTGCGTTAACGGGGTGGGGAGGTGGAGGAAGTGGGCAGAGACAGGGATGTGAAACACTAGCCACACAGGATCAGTTTGGAAGCTGAGATTCAGCTTACGTTTTCTGCTTTTGTGTACGCTGGAAAATGTCCATAATAAAAGTAAAAAAACCCAACAACCTAAAAATAAAAAAACTTGAGGTGGATGTATATATAATGAAATTGGAAGGCTCTCTAAGATACAAGTGGAGAAAACAAAAACCAAGACATATAGAATATCATCATCCTTTTGATGTTTTAAAAAAAGCCATGACAACTGTATTTTGCATAGATGCCTGCATCTATACATAGGAAAAAGATCTGCAAAACATGCATACCCAACTTTCAACAGTCGTGTCTGTTTGGAGAATAACGGGAGTGGGGGTGAGGGTGGGTAGCAGGGAAACTCATGTTCACTTTTATATTTTTCTGCACGATTTAACTGTTAAAACTGAGCATATACTCATGTTACTTGCAATTAAAGTAAAATTAAACAAGTCATGCTCACTCACTTCGCGATGGCCTCATCCCGGTCCCTGATGGCCTTCTGAAGCTGCTCCTTTGGTTCCTTGTCCTCAGATGTCACTCTGAGTCGGTCTCGCTCCTCCTTCAGTGCAGTCATCTCCACACTCAGCAGTGTCACCTAACGGGAGACAAAATGGATGAACAGGGTGACTCCGCTGTTGCTGGCCTGGGGCATTTCCCTCCCAGAGGGAGAAAGGAGAGAGAAGCCCCAGGCCGGCACAGGGCCTGTGTGCCATGCAGGCTTGGTAGCTCCTCACTGTCCCCAGCTCTGACGGAGGCCCATCTCTCCTGGGGAGAGGATGCCACATGCCCAGTGGCCAGGGTGCCAGCAGTGGGAATAGATGGCAGCCATGGAAACAGATACCACATCACCTCCCTTTCATTTCAAGGCAATCTCAGGGAACTAGTGAATAAAGACTACCCATGCATCAGGGCTCTGAAATACTTTTTGGGGGTAGGGACTCAAGTTTGGTTTCCAGCCATCTTCCACTCAACATGGAGCACTGTTAGCCACAGGGCCTGAGACCTGGCTCTTATCTCTGTGACAGTACTTGAGGCAGCCTGGCTCTTCCATCTTCATTCTGCTTCCCAGATCAAAGCCACATGGAATTTAGACACCTAAATGATGTTATCACCTTTTACTCAGAACCCATTACCTTTTCCATGGTCCACGCCTCAGTGGAGTTTACTGGGAGTCATCCTCTGATGGTGGGTGAGGTGCCCTTCCTAGTGGCTCCCTTGGTGGCCATGGCTTGCCCTGCTCACTGTAGAGTAACCCCCAGTACACCTTGAGCTCTGTGATGGCAGAAAGTGTGTCCTATCCATCTGTACGTCTCAGCCTGACTGTGTATGACGCTTAATCGTAAAACACTTGTGCAGTGAATGGATGGTTGTCATATTTTGTCTAGTCATCATCCCCAAATCCCTTATCCTGGGGGCATTCTTGGTTGTGTGAGTCTTGGTGGAAGACAGGACATGCCCTCCTCCTACTAAAGAAGCCCAAAGGGGAGAGACACGTCGTTTTCTAGGCACCTGGGCATGGGTATGAGACCTAGACTTGCCAGGCACACCCCCCTACCTGGGACTACAGCTCTTGAAGGTACAGCAAAGCCACAGGCCACTGGGAAATTATTACATGGACAGCAGATTGTTGCCCCATTTCCTATGGCTCCTTCCTGCTTTGGAGATCAGTTCTCCAGCCTTCCTGC